GTCGGGGTCGGATTGCTGCTGCTGCTGCTTTTGAAGCTCGGCCTGCGGGGGTGCCGCGGTGCGCAGGGTGCAGATGGTGAGCAGCGCCCACGAGTGTGCGTGCGTGCGTGTGCGTGCGTGCGTGCGTGTGCGTGCGTGCGTGTGTGTGTGTGTGTGTGTGTGTGTGTGTGTGTGTGTGTGTGTGTGTTCAATTGTTAGCTGGGAAACAAGGCTTGCTAGGCCCGCCCTGCCGGCGCTGCGCCGCGGCCTGCCTCGAGAGGCCTGGCGCTCAATAGGGGCTGCCGTTGTCCCTCCTCTTTCTTGGGCAAAAATCAAACCTCTGCCCGCACAGATTTGAGAGGGCCCGCCCACGCCCACCTGCGCCAGCGGCAGCAGCTTCGCCGCAACCGCCAGCAGCCGCCGGTCGCTCCTGGCCTGCCCAAACAGCGCCAGCCCCACCGGCGCGCCCCCTGCAACCCCCAGCGGCAGCGTGACGGTTGGCGCGCCCGCGAGCGCGGTGACCGCCGCGAACTGGTGGGCGCGGCGGAGGAAGGCGGCCGCGGCCGCAGGCAGCGCGTCCAGGCGGGGCGGGGGCGAGGGGAGGATTGGGGCGACCACCACCACATCCCTCCGCACGGCGCTGCCAATTACTTCCTGTTGAGGGGAGTGGCAGGGCAGGGTGCCTTGGGGAGACGTCCGGCGGAGAGGTGCAGCGGGGGTCCATGGGTTGACCAGACTAGCGAATGGCACACACGCGCGTTGGGCGCGACAAGCACCCGCCCGCTCGCGTGCGCAAAAGCCCTTATGGGCGTGTGCCGCAAAAGCGTGCAGCGAAAGCGCGCAGGCCGCCCCCTGCAGAGGCTCCCCCCTGTGGCGCGCGCACCTCGACCTCCTCAGCCACCGCCCGCGCCGAGGCCTCCTGCGCGTCTGTGATGCGCGACGCCTCCCGCAGCAGATCGACGACATCCGGGGGCAGCTGCAGCGCGCCCTCGGCGCCGCCTGTGCCGTTCACGGCGACAGCACCGGGCGCATCGACCTGCTCCTGCTCCTGCTCCTGCCCCTCCTGCCGCTGCTCCTGCTCTTGCTGCTGTTCCCGCTGCTGTTGCTCTTCTTGCCGCTGTTGCTGCTGCTGCTGCTGCTGCTGCTGCTGCTGTTGCTGTTGCTGCTCATCCTGCTGCTGCGTCTGCTCCTGCTGCTCTTCCTGCTGCTGTGGCCCCTGCTCCTCCTCCTGCTGCTGCTGTTTCTGGGCCCCCTCTCCCTGCGCCACCTCCCCTGCAGCCACCCCACGTCCCTTGTCCGAGGCCATCTCATGCTGCTGCAGCAGGTGCCCGTAGCGCAGCCACAGCCGCCGCTTGTGAAGGATGTCCGCCGCCCGGTGCAGCGCGCGCAGCACCGGCGGCGACTGCGCCGCGGCGTCGGGCGGCCCGGCGTGAGCGTCTGGCACCAATGGCGAGTTGGCGGCGGTGATGGTGTGTGTGGGGAGGGGGCGTGGACGATCGCGCGTGTCACGTAGGTGGGAGGGGCCGATGGCCCCCCTGCCTGGCTGCAAACCTGTTCACCACCCTGCCTGCTGCTGGGGCCATTTTTGACCGGCGCCCGGCCGGGACGCTGACTAGACCGCACCCTCACCCTCTGCATGCTCTCCCCACCCCTCTCCCCGTGCCGCCCACCCGCATCGTGCACCAGCTCCCGCCACCGCGCCACGTTGCCCTCCAGGAACGCCAGCAGCTGCACGCTGCCGGCCTGCTCCTGGCCCGCCCACTGCAGCACGGCCTTTTTAATGGCCACGGTGGGGGCGGCCATGTCATGGGGATCTGTCAGCTTGAACAGGTCCTCAGCCACCACCACCTGGTACATAGTTTTGGAGGGGGAGGGGGGAGGTCCAGGCGGGTGAGGACGGGTGCGGGTCCAGACGAGATGGGCGGCAGGGTGCGTGAAGGAAGGTGGGGGGTGTCTTGGCGCGGTGGGGCAGGGGTGGGACAGGGGGTCATCTGCTGCGAAGGGTGGAGTTGCTAGAAAGGAGGATGTGAGTTACAAAAAAAAGTGTGTGTGTATACGTGCGTGTGTGTGTGTGTGTGTGTGTGTAGGGGTGTGGGGAGAGAGGAGAGGTGGACGAGCCCAGACGGCAGGCGAGGCCACAGGGCCCGCCAGCCATTGAGGGGGACACCCTGCTGTCGCAGGGCGCAGCCCGCGCGCCCACACGCGCGCGCGCGCCTGCGTCAGCTCGTGCCGCAGGTTGGGGTTGCCGGGCAGCTTCAGGGCATCCGCCACCGCCGCCAGCGTCCCCATATCGTGAGACACCAGCGCCGCCACCTCGCCGGGGCCTACAGGCGGGGGACGGCACGCGGCGCGCATGTGCGTTCGGATGCGTCCGGGGCCGCGGGGCATGGGGTCCAAGGCAGAGCGTCGCCGCGGCCGCGGCCGCGGCCCTTTCCCTCCAAGGCCACTCCACTCCCCTCCCAACCGCTAGGCATCTCATGCGGAGGGCGTCCCACCTTCAGCGGGCGCCCGTGCGCTGCCGCCGTCGCCGCCGCCGCCGCCCTGCTCCTCCCAGCCGCCCACCGCGCCGGGTGTGGGGACATACGAGCAGAGCCCCATACAGGCCGCCGGCAGCCGCACAGAGCCCAGGAAATCCGAGCCCACCCCAACGTCCGCCTTCCCCAGCGCGACGGCCGCCGCCGCGCCCGTCGCGCCGCCGCCCGCCGCGCGCCACGCGCCGCCCGGGTTGCGGACGTTGCCGCCGAGCGTCGGCGCGTTGAGCGGCTGGATGCTGCAGTGGCGCGCGGCGTGCGCGCCGGCGGCCTGCAGCGCGGCCACGAAGGGCGACGATGCGCCCGCGGCCGGGCGGGAGGGCAGCACGGCGGGGATGCCGCAGCCGACAGGGGCGCCCTGTAGGGTGGTGCAGGGGTGAGGGGCAGAGCGGGCTGCTGGGCTGGCGGCCTATGCGGACCATTTCCCCGTGCAACAACGCGGGTCGAGGCAACGCCTGTCGTGCCCTCGTCCTCCCTGAACCAAGGCGCCCCAATCTGCTGGCAAGCGTGCCCGCGACGCCGCACGCACGCCCCGACGCCGCACTCAGCACGCGTCGGCCCCGCCGCACCTTGACGGCGACGTTCTCAGACACCGCCAGCCGCAGGCCGCGCAGCGGCAGCGCGGGGACGCCCCCCGCCGGCGCGGCAACATGGGGCGGCTCCGAGAAAGGCGACGCGTACACGTCCAGGGTCGCCGCCGGCTCTGGCGGCTCTTCGGCCGGCGGCGGGGCCGCCGGGGCCGGGGCCGGCGCCGCGCCGGGCCTCGAGGCCGCCGCGCCGGCTTTGCGCTTTCGCGGGCGCCGCGGCTGCTCCGCTGCCGGGGCGTGGCT